AATAATGAGCAAATTATCTCTCTAAACCCGGTCGGGGGAGAAAAAGGTTTTCTTTGAGTGAGTTACAGATATGGCTGGCTGAAAGGTAAACGGTTAATCGAAGGCTGAGAATTGTGGTATAGTGTTTGTGATTTATGAAATTATTCTTTTGAAAAAAAAAACAATACGTATTCAAAAATTTCCAGAGATCACGCAATTTTTAAATATAGATCAATTATCAAAAATCAAAAATTAAAAGCTGAACAAGAGCATATTCAGACAAAAATAAGTCCTCAAAAAATATCCATAGATTACGGTAATTTCAAAATATTTTGTCAATTATGATCCCAACAAACATTAAAAGCTGAATAATATCTTATTGAGCTGTTCCAGGCAAAATAACGAAATAAAAAAAACTATTTAATTTTTAATCGACCTTCTCCGATTTGTATGAAACTGAGTACTGTGTCTGTCACTTGGATTCAGGCAAAGTAGCCAGTCTTCTTGATATGTGATATGTGTCTTCGGATGAAGGCAAGAATGACAACTGTATCAAAACCGAATACTCAATAATAACCCAAGCGGCACACTTCGATCGAAATTAGTTGCTGATACTTGATTGTGACCGGAATCAGTTGTACACAAGTGACCACGATTGCTCAGTGACAAGTGTGCTGCTAGGGAATGCTTACTTAGTAATGTGACATGCACTATACTAAGGACACGGGATATACTACAATAGATCAAATTACTGGTCGCAGTGGTTTAAGTCCCAAACAGAGGAAAAAAAGAGTAGGACCCGAGGGGGGCGACATATCTAAAATGGCATGTGGATGGCAGATAAGATGAATCTACTTTTTTCGATCAGTGTAGTTTATTCAGATTAGACATCCTACCGTTCGCTGCATCAAGCTGCATCTACTTTTTCGATGCTATAAAAGATGCAGAAGATAGACGTAGTTTTTGAATTAGATGTCAGAACAAGAAATGAGAAAAATACATTTGAATATGAGTGCACAGAGAAAAATGTTCGGTTTTTTAAAACCCTTCCGTAAATTTAACTATTTTAAGTGATGAGTGTTGTTTTATCACATTTCGTATTATACTGTGTAGCGGATTCTTAGAGGTGATTAACAGTGAATTATTATAATTACGGGATAATGTATTGATTATAGTGACTCATACAGCATCAAAACTTTACTAGTGGACGGGCAATAAATTTCTTCAATCATTTCCTACGGACATTTGATCGAACGGTAGTAAAACTGCAATTACTGCTTAAATGTTTCTGAAAACGGAGGAACTGAACATAAAACCAGAAATCTATAAAATTTCCCCGGATGTGGCGCAGAAGAAATTCAAAATTGTTTTACGGAGTCCAAAAGTTACGTGACCCAGCTCTCATAGGATCAGTCGTTGGCGTACGGGTACGAGAGATATGTTCAATCTAATCCTTTCTATCTTCACCCACTTACCGGGCAAGCACCTCGACCTGATTTAGACGAAGGAACTGCATAATATCTCCAAAGCAGCCCGGCAAATTTTTCAAAATATCAAGGAAAGCGAGGTACCCAGGTTTGTTGAGAAACACATATTGAATGAGAATTATTTGGCTGGTACGGCTAATACCAACTTGCTTCGCTCTTTAGGTTTAGCACGGAAGACACCCGGAAGATTGACTACATTCTGGTGATGGCTGGAAGATGAGCTCTAGGATAAGATCAAAAGAGCTATACCCGACGACATCCGGCTCGGGATTGATCTCTTCAATCATGAAGTGTTCCCGAGTTTATCTGACATCTACGATTGCGAACAGCTTATAGATACCCAGTAGCTTTTGAATGGTCCTCATAGATTTATTATAATACTTTATATCCCACCTGTGAATTCTATGATTTATTAAACGATTATTGAAAACACTGACATTTGTACAAAATAATGTCCTGGTTTATTTCAGCTTCTTTTCTCGCTCAGTAATCAAAGATAAGCGTAGCTTTATAGAAGTTTCCACACATTACTGTTGAGGGTCACATCCCGATATCGCTTCGTCAGATATTCCACAGGAACTTCCGTGCGGCAAACGTCGAAGGGTACATAAGGATAACCGCTCTCTGTCACAACAGGGTACTCGTCTCCGCAAACCGAATGTCGTAGCATTGGAAAATTCTTGCACTTTACTTCAAAATAATCCATCAAGCATCTTACGATTTGCAAAGCTTTCCGATTGGAAAATCGATCAGTGACACCAGCTTACTCTTCGAACGGACCGCCTCCGATTCGATTTACAATTGCGGCTCTACGGTCACTACTTAACCTTCACCTCGTAGCAAAATGTAAACAAACAACTTTGATTCCCTACCCCACTTGCTGCTTTGTTCGTTCAGCGATTGGTTCGATCGCGACAAGATGTCAGACGATAGAATGATGCGAAAGAAGTGAAAACAAAATATATGTGAGATTTGCAATAAAATGAAGATAATCTAGATGGAACCTTACACCACAGGCAAACAGACATAACTCCAAAGGGTAGGTCACTTCGCACACCAATCTTGGGTCATCTTTTTTGTCAGTGTGCTTCAAGTGTGCCACAGGTGTGCCGATTGTGCCGGTCATAGAGTGAGCTGCGATTGTTTGTAAAATACCCATCCCGGCAACCCGGTATTTCTGACACCATGAATGTTTTGGTCTAGGGGAAGTACAACTTGATCTGAAGTAATATTTGGTGTAAAAATTGCTCAAATTAGTAGTTATTTAGTTATTATAGTTTTTAATATACATATTAATGATATTAACTGTCAAACGGAAAGCTACAATGTAAACAATTTTAACAGTGTAGGTATATCGAATACACTCAATCACGGTATACATAAACAATATAATAATATATAGTAACAATATAGTAATATACTCGCGGTTGTAAATATCAAGTTTGAATGTCGACTAATGACGTCATTGCTATCTTTCAATAGTGTGCAGGGGAATAACTCGAATTGTACAGTGTAAACACATTGCAGACACAGAAAATCACTTCATTTTGTTCAGCAAAAGGCTCTCCTAGGCTCTCATTCTTAAAATTACGCATGAAAGTTTAAATGAAAAATATCAACTTCGTTAATATTTTCGTTTGTTTACGAAAAGGATAGGAATGACGTCACTATGCAAATGTCATTTACCGGAATATCTTACCTTATATAGCGTACACCGTGAACTCAATGACGTTTCACCGTTGTTGTTTATGTTTACTGATGCAGCTTTCTGTTTGTCATCATTTTTAAGTAGTTTTACATTTTTGGCCGTTCATCTCGTTCATTGCAAAATCCGGCAGCAAATCTCACCAGGCTCATGGCGAATCAAGCGAAAACGACCACGGAACCTGTATATTGATATAATGAACCAAGGTACCAAGGAATGTCGAATTTACGAGGACAAGGAGTGGATTTCGGTGGTGACGGCCAGCAAGATCAAGTGTTGTGTTTCACCGAGGATGCACGGAGGCTTAGGCGGGTCGATGTTTTTTTTTAAATTTCGTGTTGGTAAAAAACAGGCTACAGGCCCCCGCCCCATTCTTCAACTTCGATTATTTTTTCTTCACGGATACGAATTTTGTTCATCTAAATCAAAAAATATAAATGTTTATACTCTAAACATGTGAATTATTCAAAGTAAATTGAAATGATGTTCAAAACTAAAATATGTACTGATCCCCGAGCTGATGCCTGCATCAATATGTTCTTAATTTAACTAGTTTCAATACAATTTTTTTTATAATAGAACCAAATATTCAAATTAAAAAAAAATTAGAATAATAGAGAAGGGAATGACTTGCCTCTCGTGTGAAATCCATTTTTGATTAAACGAATGTCAAATGTACACTTAAAACCAAAAATAGTCAAAAACAAACAAAAAAACAACTGTCAGACTAGGAGACGAACCAGCCCAGGGCTGAAAGTCTCCTTAATAAAGATATAAAAAAAAAACTGTCAGACTAAGTATGACCAACAATCAATACAAAACTAACGATTTTAAATTGGCTCACTACTTGACTAGCCTATTGGTCCCAAGCAAATCGTTTAACGTACCCCATTTCAGTCAAAATTCTAGTACCACACTATGTTTGTTTTGATTCGCTATGAAAGTTTGACAGATAAAATGAGGGGTTATTGGATTTTCCTATGTTTCGAGGGGTGATTCGACTAGCTTGGGACCGAAGATAGTACCAGAGCTGAGCCAAAAGGTTGAGCACGTTTCTTCGGGACCTACTTGTCTTAGAGTTACCTCTATGGTACTCACAAATATCACAAATATTAAAATATTTAATGTTTCCACCATCGGTATGATGCTTATACTTGGAGCTGGCCTTAGGTTTTGGTTTGAAATCGCAAGGATAAATCGGATTGAGGATGACGCGGGAAATGGCGTGTGTGTGAAATTTTGGTGTTTTGTGTTCATAGGATAATAAAAGTCCTGTGTTTTAGGGTTTTACAAAGCCCTCGAAGGCAGACCAGAAACCTAGCTTTTCGTGATGTGAAAAGCAACGGTCTATCAGCGCCCGGAAAGAGTTGGAACCGGTGGGGAACATTGTTGGAGACCGACTATAGAGGATGGTGAATAGACTTCAGTAGTTTGTTTTGTGTGAGTTGCAGCATTATTTGAATTAAGGGTACACCCAACCGGGGGATGTAAGATTCGCTTACAATTATGTGGGATTCATCATTAGAGGATGTTAGTGGAGACCGCATCCCGAGCAGGAGAAAATAACTAATGAATACCTAGTTCTGATCTGATACCAAAATTTTGTATTGACCAGCATGACATAAGAGGTAAAATACCAAAGAATAATACCAAAAAATTACATGTAAAATACTTTGTAAATACCAAAAATTGATATTTGGATATCAAAAAAATACCTGGCTGGTATTGTTTTGGTATTGCATTATCATAATTTGGTATTGGAATGGTATTGTGGGAACATGTTTTTGGTATTTTACCTCTTATGTCAGGCTCATCCATACCAATTTAAGGTACCGAGATATTCGTGCCTGCTCGGGATGAACCGAGGATGCGATACACCTAGCTGCGGTCCAATGCAAGAAAATTGGAGACCGAAAAATGTAGAGTGTATTAGCATAGTGGTAACTCTAAGACTAGAAGGTCCCGAAATAACGTGCTCAACTTTTTGGCTCAGCTCTGGTACTCTCTTCGGTCCCAAGCTAATCGATTCACCCCTCGAAACATAGGAAAATCCACTAACCCATCATTTTATCTGTCAAACTTTCATAGCGAATCAAAACAAATATAGTGTAGTACTGGAATTTATACTAGAATGGGGTACGTTAGTCTATTTCCTTGGGACCAATAGGCTAGTCAAGTAGTGAGCCAATTTAAAATCTTTAGTTTCATATTGATTGTTGGTATTAGTGAGGTAAATTAGTTATGTCGAAAGAAATAAGAATCAGATTGCCGACTGCACTCGAACCACAAACGTTGCGATTATCAGACCTGTGCTTTCTCCACTGTTCTCTCCATGCTTGTGAAAGGATAGCCTAAAAGCAAACATGAAGCGCTCATTTTCTCGCATACTCGACTTAGTATGCTTTTTCTGCTGGAGAGATTCGAGGCAAGTGTGTGCGTCATTCTACAAGCTTACTGATATAGTTGAAAGCGTAGATAGAACACGAAATAAAAAAGACAAAAAACCATTACATCGCCTGCATGGTCAATTTCTGAAATTCGTTGCGATGTTCATGAACAGAGGATGATAGGAAACGGAACTAACATACATTGTAATAGATTTTTGGTTTGCGTGTACTAATGGGGTCTGATTAACTGCCTCTTTCTCTTGAGCCCACTTTAGAACCTACATTTCGTATTAAAGGGTGATACGGTCAAAATTTGGTCAATATCAACTTGACGTATTTCTTTCAATTTTGCATTTAAAAAACCTGAACACCCCTCATTTTGAAGGTGTGTGTGTGTAGAATGTTGCTCCTATTTTGATTTTGGAATTCACTATTCAGTTGTCAAAATGCCGTCCAAGCAAGAAGAGCAGCGTATCAAAATTTTGCTCGCGCATCGCGAAAATCCGAGCTACTCGCACGCAAAGTTGGCAAAATCGCTAAAAATTGCCAAATCAACCGTTACAAATGTAATTAAAGTGTTTGGGGAACGTTTGTCGACAGCCAGGAAGTCTGGATCGGGAGGAAATCGAAAACTGGAAGCCGCTGAGACGAGACAAAGAGAGTTGCCGGTAGTTTCAAGCGAAACCCTAACCTCTCTCTCCGAGATGCCGCAAATAAGCTGGGTGTATCGTCTACAACCGTGCATCGAGCCAAAAAACGAGCCAAACTATCGACTTACAAGAAGGTAGTGACTCCAAATCGCGATGATAAACAAAATACGACGGCCAAAGCGCGATCCCGGAGGCTGTACACGACGATGCTGACGAAGTTTGACTGCGTGGTAATGGACGACGAAACCTACGTCAAAGCCGACTACAAGCAGCTTCCGGGACAGGAGTTTTATACGGCAAAAGGAAGGGGAAAGGTAGCAGATGTTTTCAAGCACATGAAACTGTCAAAGTTCGCAAAGAAATATCTGGTTTGGCAAGCCATCTGTACCTGTGGCTTGAAAAGCAGCATTTTCATAGCTTCCGGGACTGTCAACCAAGAAATTTACGTGAAAGAGTGTTTGAATAAACGTCTGCTGCCTTTCCTGAAGAAACACGGTTGTTCCGTACTGTTTTGGCCGGATTTGGCATCTTGCCATTACGGTAAAAAGGCCATGGAGTGGTACGCCGCCAACAACGTGCAGGTGGTTCCCAAGGACAAGAACCCTCCCAACACGCCAGAGCTCCGCCCAATTGAGAAATACTGGGCTATTGTCAAGCGGAACCTAAAGAAGACCAAAAAAACTGCTAAGGGCGAGCAGCAGTTCAAGGCAAACTGGCTTTCTGCGGCGGTGGCTGTACAAAATCTGTGAAGGTGGCTGTACAAAATCTGATGGCAGGGGTCAAGCGTAAGGCCCGGCAATTCGGATTTGGAAAAGCAGAAGCCTAACTGAATATTTTTCCTGAATTTTATACTAATTGAACTTGAAAAAGAAATTTAATTTGATTTTTTAAATAAACGATTTCACCGATTTACACGCGTTTTCCCTTGACCAAATTTTGACCGTATCACCCTTTAAGATCTATATGAGAACTGCTGGTCTGAGCTCCTGTGGTATATTCAATTGGAGGATGTTATGTGCAACTTCAATGACAGTTGTTCAGCAGTGCTCCCATTTGATTTACAACAATCCAATGCCTACGAGATTGTGCCAAAGGTGTGTCGATGGATGTGCCCAAGCTGTGCCGAATCTAATTTAGACACAATGTGCTGAGTGAATTACCCCTTGCTAGGTTTTAGTTATGATTGTGCTCGCATTTGTCATGGTGGTGCCACTGAAGCGTTAAGCAAGCTACCACGTTTTAGAGATGAACTAGCCAACTGCTAAAAATCTCTCTAATAAAGTAAAAAACAAAAAAAAAAAACTACCACATTTTGAACTTATCAGTGATGCTAGTTCTTTTATAGGAAAATTTAGTAGATGTTAGGTCTTGAAAATGATAAGTGGCCAAGGCATCACACTGGAGACACACACCACATCTGTCCAATACAGAATAAAAGGTGGTTAAATATTACATCCAAACTACTGCAGATTGGACATTCCGCTTGTACGATGTACACATATTCTATCAACGTTTAGCAGTTATTGATGTTCAATAAATCACCATGAATATCATTGATTGATACATATTATATTTGTTTGCTGTGTACACATTAACGATTACGAGCGGTGATGCATTGCCATGTTTGAAAACTTGTTTCCATCAAAAGAAAAATTGCACTAAGCAAACAAAACAAATTTCTAATAATAGTCTGAGCTTCTGTAAATATCTCCTACGGATTCATATTTCTGCAAAATCAATCACTGACTTGTATCTGTTTTGTTTTATTCAACACAGCTGGTGTGTTGACAGAAAGCAACTAGTGAATCGCACTTTTTAGCAATATAACCGAATAAAAATGATAACACACGTTATGCGAATGTTTGAGTGCACAGTTGTTAATGGTTGTTATATGTTTTCAAAGGTCTTGAGATAATTGAAATGCTCAGATGTAAGTATACGTATCATTTTGCTAATCCACATATATTTAATGTTCAAGAATGTTAGCATTCAGATAAGTTTCCTTCAAGATACACATGCACGATGAGACTATTGAAATTTTCCCATTCTTTCCCAGGCTCCATAGCAACTACGGATACTTTTCCCAAGAGCCAGAGCAATCGCTCCTCTACTGACATCGTTGATAACTCCTGGGAGTTCCACGAAGCCAACATCAATCTGTGGTATAACAACATCTTTGACCCTCGGTTGGCTCTACCTCGCCGTCATCATTTGTCTCTCAAGGACCCAGCTCATTTTAAATCTCAACTTGTTAATAATATAATCATAAATAAATTGAAAAATTATGACTTGATGTTTTGCATCTGACTTTCATCCAAAATTCCATCATATAATTTTATTTTATAATTAGTTGAAAATAATACGATTATCGTATGATTTATGAATACTGTGGTTTTCACAAATTGATTTAAAATTATTCATTTTATGGATGATTATCATTTGATTTATTCATTTTCCAACAGATGATAAATCTCACAATCATCTGTGATTGGCATTCGATTGCGGAACAGAGACCGACGTTAAATAAAGGAAAGAAGAAGAAGAAGATGACAGCTTTAAAACTACCAGTGGGTGTGACAAGAAAATGGCACTTACAGAGCCAGCTGGTAAATGACGCAAGCAGTTGTGACAGGTAGATGGTACTTACAGTGGCGGCAGATAACTGCGCACACTAAGACATATTTTTGGGTTTGAAATGAATTTCTCCAGTAAAAAATCGTACAATAGAAAAACATAAAGTCTGGTCCACTTAGAATCCCAATTTATTCTATAGCAGTGGCTCTAGTGGTCGGGGTGAATGTTTCGTCTCGAAACGTGCATTTAATAAATAGTACAAAATGGACGACGAGAAAAGAACCGTGGGAGATGTTCTCAAGCGGTTCCGTGATCGCAAGTTTGTGGCCCGGAAGGTTCAAAGCAAATGTCGTGCTGGAACTGGAAGGTGTTGAGGTCAATCAAAAGAAACCTAGGGCTCTCGAATCGGGATGTCGTGAAAAAATACGGTGCCGAACAGGATGATGAAGCAGAATCTTGTGGTCATAACATGCATCCGGAAGTTATACGCCTGGGTTCTGACGAATTACAGAGGATGCCTTCTTATGGAAGACAACACCTATGTCAAGATGGATTTCAGTCAGGTTTCCGGACAACAGTTTTATCTGGTGACAGCACGGGATGATGTCCCAACAAAATTCAAGTTTATTTTTGCCGATAAATTCGCCTGGCAACTGAAAAAATTGCCGCTAGTTCATGAAAGCCGGCGAAGTAATTTTGCTTTTTTTAATGAAAGTACAATAAATTACCTTCATTTTGACTAAATGACATTTTTCTTACGTCAATTCAATCCCGATTAATAACTGGTTTTATATGTCCGGATTCTAACTGGACCAGACTTTGACATCTTATGGTTCAACCTAGGATATTTCGGAAGATACAAAATATTGTATTTTGTATAGTGAAGATTCCTAACTACGTATCGAATTCATTGTAACAATCGAATAAACCTTGAATTTTATAGTCGATAACCATATGTTTTATTCTATCAAATGTTATTCAATTACATAATAAAACTTACAAACATTTAATTGTTTTCTGTGCTATTGTAACAGTAAATTTTATGGTATATTTATATTATTTTTCATTCTGGTAGCCAAGCTGTCATTCTCGCTGTCTTCATCATTTCCGCCAGTCTTCTTAATCCAAACCAATTCTCGATTATCATAGCCATTAGTGACAAATAAAGTAGGAGCTAGACATTTTTTACTTGTTCTAGTTTGATTTAAGGAGACCAAATGATGATGCGGAATGATCCACCACCATCGAAGCTGAACTTTAAAGGATGAACC